ATCCAAACCAAACCAAGCTCACAAAAAACCCTCAACTTTTAAATTTTTTTCTTATTTTTCTTTTTTCTATTTTTTCCTTTTTTCTTTTTTCTTTTCTTTTTTTCTTTTTTCATTCTTTTTTATTTTCTTCTTTTCTTTTTTCTTTTTTCTCTTTTTATTATTTTTTCTTCTTTTCTTTTTTCTTTTTTATTTTTTCTTTTTTCTCTTTTTATTATTTTTTCTTCTTTTCTTCTTTTCTTTTGTGTTTTTTTTATTTTTTCTTTTTTCTCTTTTTATTATTTTTTTCCCCACTTTTTTCCTTCTTTTTCATTCTTTCCCCCCCTTTTGCCCCAGGGGCTCCTGGTTCCCCCAGAGCCCTGCAAGCAGGGGTGATGGAGGCAGACCTCAGGCCAGCTCATTCCCGGCACCCCGCTCAGCACCAGCAGTTGGGAGCGGGCCACCCTGCCAGCCGCTCTTTCATTTCCACCCACTGCTTGCCCCCATTAAGGAGGGTTAAGCGCAGCCTGCCTTCTCCCCCAGGGCTCCTGACCTTGCTGATGTCCTCCGTTGCTCTACCGGTGCCCCCCGCTCCAGGCAGCCCCTTGTCAGACATCGAATACAAGCTCTTCTTTGCCAGCCTGCACCCGCCCTGGAAGGCAGATGTGTCCTGCCAGATGCGCCAGGTACAGGGCTGCCTCAGCCCCGCCATCCTGCAGCTGGACCAGGAGGAGAACCACGGCCGTGTCCCCAAAGGTAGGGGCATCACCCCACCTCGAGGGGCAGAGGTGGGCATCGCCCCAGCTGGAGCAGTGCTGGCTGTTTCTCTGCCCTGAAATGCCACAGGATTACAGGAATGGTGGCAGGATGGGTCATTTTGGGGTCTCTAGCCCAAAGTTCGGCTTGGTGCAGGACACTCCCAACACTAGAGCACCGTGGCTTTGTGCAAGGGAGTTTGGTTTTGTGGCCTCTCTGGGCACCTCTTCCAGAGCTGCACCACTTTCCTGGAGAAAAAGCTTTTCCTAATGGCCAGTCCTAACCTCCCAAGCAGGAATTTGCAATTTTTTCCCTCTTGTGTTATCTGGCACCACCAAGAAGAGTTTGACCTTGTCATCTTGTAGCTTTCCTTCAGGTCCTTGTGGGCTGCCGTTAACTCACCTCCCCTTCTCCTCTTCACCCAGCTGAACAAGCACAGCTGCCCCAGCCTCTCTTCATGGGCCACCGGCTGAAAGCCATGGCCACTTCAGTGGCCCTTCACTCAGCTCTTCAGTTTCTCCACATCTCCATGGGTGGGATGGCAGGGGAAAATAACTGGCCACAGTTTTCTGAAGCTTGCTGAAGGTCATCATCTCTTCCCAACTGTTCATCTTACAACCTGGCTGGCTCCTTCCAGCTTGATCTGGGGTTTAATGCAGAAGCTTGGCTCATGGGCTGTCATGGGCCTTTAAGAAAGCTTGAGCTGATAAGCTGCTTTTTTAAGTGTTTAACATTTCAGGAGCCAAGAAACATCCCAGTTCAGAAAGCGCCATAGCAACAGCACCCTTTAAATCTCTGCAGTCATACTTTCCCTGCACCCCTGCATCAGTGAATTTAAGTGGCATAATTATATCTGTGCAGCTGAAAAACTTGGGACTACTTCTGTTGTATTTTTCTTCAGAGGAAAAAAAATAGGAACAATTTTCTCATAAAAAATATGTCTTTATATTTAGCTATGAACGTCAATGAACTGAATGATCCGCCAACTGTGCTTATTTGGACTGCAGCTTGAGGGCAACTATTTCTTGCTTGTTTCTGCAGCTGTGTCAGGGGCTTGTGTCCCACCCCACATCACCAGAACCAGGGATGAGTCCTGGGCTCCTCCCTCACTTGCGAGCACCTGCAATCCACGATGCCGTGGCACTAGGTGCAGCCGGGGGCTGTTCCTGCTTCCTCTCCTGGCGATGCCCAGCAACCTGGCACTGCTCTTTGGCATATCCAGCCACTCTCCCACTGCTGCTGCCTTTGGAGGCTCAGCTGTCAAGAGCTGGAGCATCTGGGAATGCCAGGACATGGGACAATTTTGCAGGATGCCCCCTTTGCCTTCTTTTCCTCTATTCCTCAGCCCAGCAGACCCATCTGGCAGACTTTATTCCCTTCCGTGTTCCCTTTCTTCCAGTTTCGGGGCTATTTTGGCACATGTTGCAGCCAGGCTGAGAGGCCAAGCAGATGTGGCAGAGCATGTGCTCTCACATGTTTTGTCTCTACTGTCCTCACAGGTACATGGCAGTGCTGTCTACATCCAAATATTCATGAGCATTGTGCCTCTTCAGCTGTGGTGCTGAGGAAAGCAGTCACCTTGTGTTTTAAATAAGGGAAGCCTACACGTAGCTTTTCAATGCTCTTTGTTGTGGACAATGAGAGTCAGGAAGATGTTTCGTGATGAGTGCATGCAAATATCTTGGCTGGTTCCATCTTTTAGTGACGATGCAATTATTAATTAATTAACCCCCACCACCACCATGCTGGGAGCCCCTGTAGGTGGAATTGGCCGCAAAGTCCAAGGGGGTGACTTCCTTACACCCGGCAGAAGCTGTAGCTGTTTGCAGCAAACCCATGGGCAGAAGGAGCAGAGGAAAGAGGCAAAAAATCGTATTGATTAAACTAAGCAGCTGGTGCTGGGGAGAGCTCCCCTTGACAGAAAGGTCAGAGGACTGAAAGAAAGATGAGTATTTCCATAGGGGAGATGAACTGAGAGAAAAGACGAGGTGGGGATCAGTGCTAAAGGAGGCAAGCTGCTCGTCAGGTCATGCCATCAGCATTCAGCTGGCTGTGGGAAAGCTGAGCCATAGTGAAAATCAAGAGACCAGCAAAGAGAGCCCATGGGAAACTTTATCTGTGTCAAGTTTTCCTTCACTTCCCAGATGTTGGAATGAAAATGTACTTTTCTCCCCCCACCCCAAAATGGAAAGTTTCTGTATCATCATAGGAATGGTTTGTAACAGGACACAGCAAGCTCTAATACTCCAAGCCTGGACCAGTATGCGCTGCTGGGGATGCAGTCCTGGCCTGGGAGAGCCAGGATAATGCTGGGGTTAGCAAATGGTTGAGGTTACTCCCCTCGCCAATGGCAGCAATGCTCTTTTGCAAGTAGTGGCTCTGTGGTAGAGTAAAACACTGCAGCTCCCAGTCCATTGCACTGGCCGAGTCCAGTCCCTCACGTCCTGGAGGGATTTCATAGGGTATCACCAAAGCAGAGAGTGGGGGTCTGGCTTGTTTCCTACAAGTTGGGCATTCTTCTGGGCTGGGATCCCGGTGGATACCTGAAATTCTACTTTTGCTGGTGAATCCGTATGCTCAGCACAAAAGAAGTGTGTACAGTGTGAAAGATGGTGTACAAGCAACTAACAGGAGAGCACCGCAATTCCACTGCTAACTTCCTCTGTTTCAGACAGCACTTGACAAATTTGGTCTGCGCAAAGGGCTGGCTGTGCTAGCTGGGCCATGCACCCACAGAGCAGAGGGAGCACAAGACTACCCCCCTCCCCAAACGTCCCAGGGTTTTCTGCTCTCCTGCATGACCTCAGCTATCCTGTGATCACTGCAGAAAGAGCTGCAACTTTTGAGCCAGCGGGGTCGGCAGTGCTGGTCAAGACTATGGCGCACCGTGTGTACAGGCACAGGCTTTGCCAGCAGCACCTCATCCCTACGGACTTTCCTCCGTCCCCTGCACAGCTAGAATCACTGTCAAACTATTTTGCTCTGAAGAGGCTGTTTTGTCTGGTGTTCCCAGGCCTGGTCTGGTCACCTTTTTAACCCATCACATCACTACTTGCTTTTTTTTTTTAAACCCTTCAAGGACTAATAACAGGGTCCTTATCAGATCCTGGAAACAGGATGTTTGGGTCTCTGTAAAGAGAAAGATAACTTTGTGAAAAAGGGCAGAAGGACAAACTGGAACCCTGGGTGGTTTGGAAGGAAAGTGCTTGTGGCATCTGAGATGGGGAACTATAACAGCGCCAGGCTGTGATCTCCACTTGGGGACACACAGCTTTGACTTCCCCTTCAACCACAAGCCACTCTGAAAACAGACATCCGAGAGGTCCCCATCTCTTCCTGCACCCAGGCCAAGGGGCCAGATGCCTAAACCTGTGGCCTGCCCCCATCCTGCATGTCTCTCTCACCCCTCTCTAGGGCCAGTCTGCTCTGAATTCCCAGAGGCACCGTGGTTTCAGACCTTCTGCCAGTTCGCCCAGTATCGCTGCTTCAAGCGCCAGTTCTACACCAAGGTGGAAAGCGGGGTTCGGACCGGGGAGGGGGGCAGTATCACTTGAGAGATGGAAGAGGTGAGGAGGAAGGGAAGATAATACAGTGTGACTCGTGTTTCTCCTTCTCTCCTCCGCTCAGCGAATCCCGTGTCTGAGTTTGTCTCCTCCAAAAAACCTTCTCCTCCCGATGGAGCGACCTCATGCTCTGGGCTCCTGGGCAAGGGATGAAAGCTCCCCTATGGAAGAAGGTACAGCTGCACAGAGCTGCACTGGGCACCCCTGCTTGCCTGCTGTTCTCCCATAGCTACTCTCACCCGCCAGCAGCTTTCTGGCTGGCCTCAGAAAGGTGCCCTCCGCCCCCCCCATCCCACTCTCTCCCCGGCTCCAGGGCAGGCTTTTCTCTCGCCCACTGATGCCCTGCTGCACACCAATGTGGACACTCTCCTGAAGTACTCCTACGCACTGTCAAGTCAGAAACCGCTGCCGAGGAAGCTCCTCCCGGCCATGCCAGGGGTGCCAAGACACCCGCAGGACAGGGGGCTGCCTGTGCTCCCACCGACCCTGCCAGTCCCGGCTGCCCCTGCCTCCTCACCTCCCAGGCTGGGATCCCCTGCCCAGGCAGAGCAAGCCTGGGAGCAACACCTGCAGAACAGCGTCTGGCAGCTCATCCACTTGGCCTTCTCCTTGGAGACACCTGTAGGCACCAAGGACTCTTCTCTGGACTCCAGCACCAAGCCAGACCCAGGGAGCTTGTCAGGCAGTGCCAAGGAGGGGGTGCAGGAAACAGGCCCGCATGGCAGGTGAGGGGAAGACCCGTTTTCCCGCCCCGGTGGGGTACTGCACATCACCCGTGCGGGGCTGTCCTCACATGTGCTGGCTGGTAGCCCCACAGCACTCATGCCCCTGCCCTGAGCTCCTGGTAAGCACACGCAGGCTTTCTGGAGCAAGCTGTCCCATACAGAGCAGGCATGCACCCAGGCAACCCCTCAGACACCCCCGCTCCAGCACAGAGGGAGCAGGGAGAGGGTGACCCAGCACTGCTAGTGCCTGACAACGTTACTGTCCTTGTGTCCTGAGCAAAGTGCATTTAGGCTGGGCCTTAGCTGCAGGCAGGGCTTTATCACATTCACGTGTATCTCCACACTGTGGCCACCTGCAGTGTGCAATCACTTCTGCACTCATCCTCCTCCCAGCTCACAGCTCCCAGGAGTCTGGATGACCTGCAGAAATAGCTTCCCTGCAAACGCGGGTCCTTGGGATGCTGGAGTAAACACGCGTCTCACTGTGCTCCTCACCTCTCTGCATGTAATGTGAAGCAGATGTTGCTTAAAACAGTCTGGCCTGAGGAGCACTCTGACGAGTGTTCCATCCTCACCAAGCTAGAGCGAAAGCAGTGCCAGGCTAGAAAACAGAGCCGGAAGCACAGAGTCTTGCTCCCAGCTGTGCAGGACCACTACTTCTCCTCAAGCATGTGCACCTCTCTGCACGCTGGGTCTGTGCATTGCTCTTCCTAGGGGGTTTCTGGTTCCCCATTCTGGCTTTGAAAGCATCTGCATGTCAGTTCAGCACAGGGGCCCTGCGACAGTCCAGCTTACTGCAGTCCTTTTACGTGCCCTTAGTTCCTCTAGCCTATGGGTGCTTTAGGAGCTTGTTGAGCATCTTGAGCTCTTCTCAGATGATCTGCCATGACCCATTCACCTCTGTGCTCCGGCAGCTGGGGCTGATGAGCCCAAACAGAAAAGACCTGCAAAAGGATCGTATGTTTTCACTCAAATTTACTTTTTGATCCTCTAGTACTTTGTGGCTGAGGACCACTTGCTTTGCCTGAGATGCAAATATTATTTTGCTTGCCAAGAGCAAAAAAAAATGCTGCCTAGATGTGGTTTTCACAGAGAAATCATGTTGGCTTCGCTCTGCTGCTAGCTAGTGACATTCCTGTAAGCACACAGGTTTTATGCATGATTGCATGTCTATGCTTTCTATTAGAAACACTGCATACTACTACCATTGAGCCAGAGATCCCATTTCTGCATGTAAGAATGAATTGCATCATGTTGTTAAAGCTGTAAATGCTCTCTTGCAAGGCTATAATTTATGTCAACCTCCTTCCTAATATTGTAGGAGGCTTTTACTGCCCAGCAAATTTTTCCTGGTGTTATGTACTCTAAGGCAAAATTAAGTTTCATTGAGGATATGTTCTTTTTCCCTGCCTCTGAAGTTGAGCCTTACTCTGATTTAGTTATATTGGGATTATTGAGGGACTGCTGCGATTGCACATGACACTCGCTATTCTGCTGCAGAGTTTCTCAAAGACACTAAGGCTGACTGTGTGTCTGTAACCTGGCAGCTGAGCCCCATCAATCATGCTAAGCAAAGCTTAAATTCAAGTGAGGATAAAAAGACCTGTCGGCTTTGCTGCTTGCCACATCCTGCCTCCTCTCAAAGGGACTTCAAAGCATGACCTAAAAAAGGGGCAAAATACTTTGAGGCATTTCCATTCCAGCAAGAGGAGAAGTGCTGGCTGGGACTGGTTGGTGTGCACAGGTGCTGTTCAGCATCTGGTTTAACACAGGTGTGCATGGTTGTGACGGGCACCAAACCCAGGGCTGCATGTCTTCCCCAGGATCTTATGTCCAGTGGGATATCCGTCCCTTCTTGCTCACCCCTGCTTGTGGCAGCGGCTCTGGTAGCTCTACCAGCTTCTTGGTACCCGATGAAGGTAACTGTGACCTTTAGAGATAGACATGCTAATAGTAGCAAAATAACAAGAAGAATTGGCAGCACACTTTTGTCGTGTTTCTGCTAGCAGTGAATCATTATAGGGGAAAAAAATGTCCCATTGCATTTATTTTCAATTTTTAGTCCTTATTGTGTTTTCTGCCCCTTGATCATGCTGTGGTTCTAAATTAAAGAGCTATTTATTTCCCAGTATTTCCTCTCTTCAAAGTTACCTATATGCCATGATTCAGTCTTGCAGTAAGCTGAACAGAGCTCAATAGCTCTCATGTTATAAAGCCGGCGTAACTCATTTTCTGCGGCAATTTTCAGTGTCCCTTTAAAACACCCACACGCTCCAGCTCTGCGTGCACCATTCAGCAATGGGTTTCAGTTTCAGCAGTTGGGTATGCAGAAGAAGGTCAGCCTCCCTTCCCTTCCCCCTTCCCTTCCCCCTTCCCTTCCCC